ATCAAAAAAAAAATTGTAATATAAGTTTTGATAAAATTAAATAACTTTTATTTTCAATTAGAATCTGTTATGGTTTTAAAAACAACATTTTAATTTTTATAAAGAAAATAAAAATTTAATTTTTACATCACTGAACAATGTTTGCATGTTTTTTTAATTAATATTTACGCAGGTTGCAAATTTTAAGAGAAATTAGGTTTAATTTAGTAAAATTTATTAATTCGCATTAGTTTTAAAATAAAATGTAGGAGGGAATATAGAAGAAAATGTAGGATGTCTGGATAGGAACAATATAGTATTTTTAAATTTATATTGGAATATTTGGTCCTTTTAAATAATTTTAATTTTTATGATTCTCTCTCATAAATATCACTCTTTATTGGTCCTTCTCTCTAATTTTCCCAATAAAATTGTGTTGCAATTTATCTTTCTCGCAGCAACTTTCCCTTTAACTCAAGTACTGCCTTCAGTCTTAATTATAAGATTTAGTTGACTAATTTGAGAAGATTAAGGAAGTAAGTTGAGTTAGTTATTTGTCCTAAATAAGTATTTTCTTTCTTAAAATATCCTTACTAATCAAGTGTATTAACTAGAACTATAATTATTAGAAAGATTATCTTGAAAAAAATTGAGTAAATATAAGAGATAAAGTGGATTGAGGTCTTATATTTAGGACCAAAATAAAAGTCAAACAGGGTTTTATATTAAGAACGGAAGTAGTATTATTTACTATTTACTATACATTTTTATTGACAAGTTAGAGAAGGAGCAAAGCGGATGACAAGAATGGATAAGTAATTGGGGGAATGACAAATAAAGACTCTCCAATATGCAAAATGACGGATAGGTCACCTAAATAAGTGAAATTACTCACAAGGACCGGATCTCAAATTGCCATTATGAAATCATGGCCAAATTACCAAAATACCCCTCTTTAATTTTTTTTTTTTAAAAAGATAGCCATTGCCTCTCCGGAATCCGGCCGTCGGTGCCGGAGCTCCGGCGGCTTGGACACCGAAGCCCCACCACCCCAGTTGCCAACCGCAGGAGCTCCGATGCCGGCGGCCGGTTCCGGCGGCCTTCCTTTGTTTTTTTTTTTTACAACTGTTTTTTTTAATCCCCCAACCTAATGCTCCCCAAAATTAGGAATGACCATTGAGCCATCAAATTTTTGTTAACATTATAATGCAAAAAAAAAATAAGTTAACTCATTTACTCTTGTTCCAAGTGATAACAACAATACATTTGGAAATAACAAGTTCTGATTGTAAATAACACGTCTGAAATGAAAATTTAACAATATGTTTTTTTTATAACAACAAAGGTGACAACAACAATACATTTGAAAATAACAAGTTCTGATTATAAAATAACAAGTCTGAGATTAAAATTCAACAACATGTTTTTTTTATAACAACACACTTTGTTTCATGTGATAACAACAATACATTTAGAAATAACAAATTCTGATTATAAAATAACAAGTTTGGAATTAAAATTTAACAACATGTTTTTTTAGAAAATTATTTATATTATGATTTTGGAAAATAAATTATTTATAACTTATAAAAAATATTTTTAATATATTTATTTTTCTAAAAAATACTTTTTAACCTATATATCTATACAACTCATTATAAATCAAACTACTTCTTATAAATTATAAAGTATTTATAATTAAGTATTTTTAATCTATAAATCATAGTATCAATTTTTATATTATTTCATTCTTTAAATATTAAAATTTTTTATTAAGTATTTAAATATTATAGTATAATTTATTATTTCATTCTTTAAATATTAAAAATAGTTTTTATATTTAAAGAATAAAATATTATTTTTAATTATAAATTAGAGATAAATTTCATTTATAAACTTAAGCAGTCAAAAAGTATTTTTAATCTACAATAAATTGTACTATTTATAATTTATAAGAAGTAGTTTGATTTATAATGAGTTGTATAGATATATAGATTAAAAAATTTTTAAAAAAAATTAAAAAAGTGTGTTTCCTTTTTCCCTAAATTTTATTTATAAATTTGAACAATAAAAAAGTATTTTTAATCTATAATAAATTATACTTCAAGTTCTGATTATAAATTGGAGATAAAAATTATTTTTTTTAACAAATTAAATAGATTGCAAATACTTTTTATAAGTTATAAATAATTTATTTTTCAAAAGTATAAAATAATTAATTGTTATAAAAAAACGTGTCGTTAAATTTTAATTCCAAACTTGTTATTTTATAATCAGAGCTTATTATTTCTAAATATATTATTGTTATCATTTGAAACAAAGTGTGTTGTTATAAAAAAAAAACGTGTTGTTAAATTTTAATACTAGACTTGTTATTTTATAATCAGAACTTGTTATTTCCAAATGTATTGTTGTTATCACCTGAAACAAAGTGTGTTGTTATAAAAAAAAACGTATTGTTAAATTTTCATCCCAGACTTGTTATTTTATGATCAGAACTTGTTATTTTTAAATGTATTGTTGTTATCATCTAAAACAAAGTGTGTTATTATAAAAAAAACGTATTGTTAAATTTTCATTCCAGACGTGTTATTTTACAATCAGAACTTGTTATTTCTAAATGTATTATTGTTATCACCTGGAACAAGAGTAAATGAGTTAACTTATTTTTTTTTTTTTTGCACTATAATGTTAACAAAAATTTGTTGGCTCAATGGTCATTCCTAATTTTGGGAAGCATTAGGTTGGGGGATCAAATCCCTCCAACCTCACTTCCCCCCTATTTAAAAAAAAACAGTTGCAAAAAAAAATACAAAGGAAGGCCGCCGACAGTGGCTGGAATCAGCCGCCGGCATCGGAGCTCCGGCTGCTGGAAGCCGGGGTGGTGGGGCTTCGGTGCCGGCGGTTGGATTTTGGAGAGGCAGTGGCTTTCTTTAAAAAAAAAAAAAATTAAAGAGGGGTATTTTGGTAATTTGGTCATGATTTCATAATGGCAATTTGAGACCCGGTCCTTATGAGTAATTTCACTTATTCAGGTGACCTATCATTATTTTGCATATTGGAGGGTCTTTATTTGTCATTTCCCCTAAGTAATTTGTAGAATATTTCAAGTAATATTGATAGTTTTTAAAAAATAGTTGAAAATAATTTGTGCCATCTCCAAATCATCCAAAATTTTTATTTGGGTCCCCACCTTTATTATTTTTGGAACCAACTAATGGGATAGAAACAAAACCCTTCCTTCCTCCCCTCAAAACCCTTCCGGCTTCCAGGCAAATATTAATATAGTGGTTAACCTTTCGGCCATTGGTACAGCGTTCATTAAATCTTTATCTCCTTCACTTTTTATTTTTTTAAATGTTCCTGTCCTTCATCAGAATTTACATTGTAATGATTTTTTATGTTTTTTAATGGCATTTTCATCTTTCAATCAGAAAAATTATAGGAGTGGATTTGAACATTTTTACCCTTACAAAGACTTCTATAAAAATTAATGTAAAATATAGGAATGAGATATGTGGGAAAATTAAAATTTTATTTGTAAGAAGAATTTCATAAATTTTTATAGACAAAAAGTACCGGTACTCTACAAATTTTGTGCACAATGATACTTCCATTTACATAGACAAAATTTTTGATGGGGACTTTTTCACAAGTTTTGCAAAAATTATTTTTGCAAAAAAATTACTCCTTCTGTTTCTTTGTTTTGGCAAGATATAATTTAATTATATGACTTATTCCTATTTACATGATACCTGTTTCATTTTTTATTTAATTATTCATATTAATATAATTTTATTTATCATCAAGCTAAATTATTTAGATGATAAATTCTCTCTTCCTATAATAAATAAGGATAGTTTAAAAAATAATTTTTTTTACATATTTATTATTTCTAATTAATTTAGGGTCCCCTTCACATCTTTTAAGCAGCAGAACGCTTATTAATAACCAAATGGGCCCTTTCTGAAAAACGATCCGTCTTGGCTAGAACCGATAATATGGGCTGGGCCTCAGCCTGGCAAAAAAGACGGGCTCTGGTTGGCGTTTTGCCAGCCCACCACATAGCCCGCACCGCTTTTGGCCCGCTCCGCGGGCTAGCCCGCTTTTTTTTTCCTCCTGATTTTTAATACATTATATAATATAGTTAGATGATTTTGACTCTCAAATTTTATATAGACATTACCTCATTCATATCAGTATATATATAATTAATTAAGCACTTCATATATATGTGTATGGTTATATGAAGAGCACCGTCTATCTTTTATTTTTATATCTATTTGTCATTACTATACATGGCTTTATAAGATTAGATGAACATGTGATTCTCATATAGTCATACATACACACACATAAAAGATTTACTTAATTAATTTGGATAAAAAACTAGTTAAATTAATTATTTATAAAAAATATATATGTTAGTTTTTCTTAAATATCTTCTAAAATAATAAATTAATTCTCATGTTTTTTTTAGTTAGAATTCATTACTCAAGTTAAAAATTGGAATCTAATTTCAACATTTCAAACTAGACTTTTTTTTTTTGATACATCACATTTCAAACTAGACTTAACTCATATTAATATAATAAATTTTTAAAAAAATTTAAACTGGCTCGGGCTGGTATTAGTGCAGGCTACTTCGACCCGTACCGCATTCAGCCCTCACCGCTATGGCCCGACCCGTATCCGCAGCGCGAGCCTGCTTTCCTCTCCTGGCAGTCAAAAATCAAAATAACTGCATCGTCCATTTGTGCTTGCTCTTTCCCTGGACCCTGAAGCCGCTCAGCCCCCCGGCGGCGAAATTACTGAGCTCTGTTTCTTGTCGCAATTCTCTGTTGCTAGCGGCTTCTTTCTTTTCTGATTTCTCCGAGGAAGTGACGCACAAGCTTAACAAGAAGTGAGAACGAAAAGCTCTCTGGTTTCCTGGGTCTGACCATTTTCCAGTCTCTTTTAGATCTTTGCTTTTATATTATAGTTTAGTTGCAAGATTGCAAATTTGACCGTATTATGCAGAAATGGAAGACGAAAGCCCAAACCCTCTTCGCCGAATGTCAAGCCGAACTCGGAAGGTTGCACCGAAAATGGTTGCTGCTCTTGCTAGTAGTGACAATCGCACGCAGGTTGAAAACTTTGAATGAATTTATAAGCTCTGTTAAATTCAGAGTTATGAATTTCATTACAGCTCTTATGTTAAGTTTGGACTTCTAATTCTAGGCTGCGCTTGCTCGCCTCGAAGCTTTGGAGAATGATAATGCAGGATTTGAGACTGTAGAAGCTATTGACGACGATGAAGCTTCTCTAGACGATGAAGATCAAGGTTTATATCGCCTTGGTTTTCTGAAACTGCTTCTGTTTCTTTTCTTTTTTTTAAATTCAATATTTGGTTGAAAATTGAGAAGCTTTCCCGCAGTTAGTGAAAATTTTGTATGGTGCATAGTGCTTCGGAATTTGTCCACGAAACAGTAGACTGTTATTAGGTACCCTGCGAAATGCTTGCATTAAGTTGTTAATGGATTCCTTTTCGTTGTTCTCTTTTTGGACCTCCTCGTGCAGTGTATATACAAAAAAAGCAGTCAAAGGGCACAAAAAGGACAACCCGGCAGGCAAAGGCACTTGAAGCAAGGAAGGCCCCAAGAACTTTCCTTGAGCTCTTACACGAGGTGAATAAACCATAAGCGATATACACTGAGAATCTCTTGCTTATATAGTTGCCTTGATGGTTTTATAGCTATATCTACATTTGCAAACACAGGCAAACCTAGAGTCATTACCTCCACATGTTCCATCTTATTGGAAAGCAGCAGTCGGACCTCCAAGCTCAACCTGCCGTCGCCATTTTTGTACAGTTTGTGGGTTTTCTGCCAATTATACTTGTGTTAGATGTGGTATGCGCTTCTGTTCATATCGTTGTCAAAATGTACACAATGATACTCGTTGCTTGAAATTTGTAGCTTGATACATGAGACATTTCGGCTTGGCTAGAAAAATGTATTATTCATATAACGTCAGATCAGAGGCACTGTGTTAAATATCTCAAGAAGTTTGCTAAATTCCACAATGGTTTTTACTTGTTTTTCCCGAAAGCAAGGTCCTTACTGAACTCCCCGCCCCAACTCTCCAGTTAAACCAACCCCCCCCCCCCCCCCCCCCCCCAAAAAAAAAGAAAAAAGAAAAAGCACTTCCGTCAGTTCACTGATTCTGTGCTTGTTTAATTGTATTGACATCTTTGATGCAACTGACTATAGGCTTCGTTTTGGTCTTTCAGAATCAATCAATATATCGTTATATGTGATAAAATATCTAAAAAGTTGTCACCCAAAAAAAAAAAAAAACCCTGCAAATTTACCCAACTCACTAGCCATGAATAGTATGTTTCATTTCTCAGACGACTAAATACAGCCATACAAATTATATATTATTATCTTTAAGAAATCATATATTGTGATCCTATTGCGTTCTGCTGATTTGATTAACCCAATTAAGGAGGTCTTGTGATGTTAGATCAGGCTAGGTATCCGCGCATCATCATGGTGGCCACCTGAAAACTAGATATGCATCAGTTCGTTTTGCAGGTCTGGCTAAATTACGTGTTTGCTTCCTTATTATGTGGGTCATTCTGCCACTGTGGGACAAGGACCAAATTGGAGGAAAATTCTGTGGTAGCCTTGGTCTACCAAAGGTTGGCAGATCCTATTAATCATGAACAAGCATACAAGTATATTGGACATCAATCTCCGATTTGTCAGTATACATGCCTATCCATAACTAATTTGGCCTACTTAATTGACATAATCCACCCAGGAATCTCTTCTAAGAATTTATGTCTGCAGCCTTGACTTTCAACTTGCCAGAATGGAACATATTTTTCCTGAACAAAAGGACTGATCGTACAAATGATGAGAAACCATTCATCTTTTATTTGTCTTTCAAGAGGCTTACACAATCAGGGGGAAACAAGTAAGCTGCTCAATTGAGCATCATCCTATTCTGGACTAGGAATGAAGGTGGAAAACCACATTGACTATACAACGACAACAATTAGCCCTACCCCACTAGGTGAGGCTGGCTACATGGATCACACAATAAAGAAAACCACACTTACTATTTAGAAAATATTTGAAGAATATGCAAACAGCAAGCCAATATTTCATTAGCATAAAATTTATAACTAATGATGTATTCTTCATCTTAACATCTTGGTAGATCTGGTGGTGGTGGTATAACTGACTGTGACGGTCCAACTCCATTCTCTACGAGGAATGCCATTGACAAACCCCAATTGAGATGTGAATCTATATGACAATGCACGAACCAAATTCCTGTTTTGCACCAATACATGAAAATCATGTTAGTGATGTGTTTTTTTCTTTTTTAAATACAAGTTGTAAGAGCAGGACTGATAAATTTTGTCAGTAGCATATTACCTGGATTATCAGCAACAAAACGAATGGCTACCCATCCTCCTGGAGGTGTTCCTATGGTGTTTCTCACAGGTGGATCAATAAGATTAAACTTAGCAGGATCCGTTGCTGGGTTGAAGTTGCCAAAACCTGAACCAACTATGTAGAAGTGGTATCCATGAATATGCATGGGGTGGTCCTCAGGTGTTACTATGCTCGTATCCTGGAAAATAAGTTGCACCTTGGAACCATATTTCAACTTGTAGAGCTTAGTTCCTCGAGCAGGTGTCCATAGGCCTCGGGGGACATTCCCTGTATAATTAAATTGCAGCGGAGGAACAGGAGGAAAGTCTGTGGTGAAGACACCAGGCATTCCTTGATAGTATGCTTGCATTAAGGAGGTAGTTCTTGGGAGTACCAAAGAAATATTGTTCATGCTGGCTGTGAAGCGAGTTCCATTAGGTCCTTGGCAACGGGGGCTATTAGGATTGGTGCAATTGATTAATCCTAACCCCACTATGAAGTTCAGACTCACATCAACATCTTGAAATACCTTAACCTGGGAAAGGCCCCTGAGTCCAGCATTGAATGCAGTTGCAGTCGCTGTGTCATTAAAGGCTGGCAGAGCCGGCAATATTGGTCTTGAATTTTGTCCACAATTCTTGCAGCTAGCAGAGTTGTACTCAAGGATTGCAGTAGTGGTGGTATTGTCAAAGGGAGCATTTTGGGCTGATTCATAGGCACGTGCTGCCATGTAGTAGCGACCTGGGGCTTGATCAGCAGTGAGAAGGACATTGATTGTCTGGCCTGGTGCTATCATCAGAACTGTTGTGGTGAAAGGCTTGGTATATGCAGCATCAGTGCCAACAACCGTCATCCTGTGGTTGGCAACCGAAAAGAAGAGTTCTTGTTCAAGTGCACTGTTGATTATTCTTAAGAGAATTGTCTCACCAGGTTCTACTGGAATCCGTACGGTATCTGCGTAATGATTTTGTCATGGGTTACAGTCAGTTCTTTATCCTTTTCAACCTTAGAGAATGTTAATCTACTTTGTAGTTGTGATATGAAAATATTCAAAACCTTGGCTGGAGCATCTGTAGAGATCACCAGGCTGACCATTAACGGTGTATGCAAGAGATACATTTGGGGGTCCCCCTGTAAATTGTGTCATCCTTAAGAGACTCATTGCATCCCTATCGAACCATTCCCCTGTTAATGATCAGAAATTATCAGTCATGACTGCCTTGGATTCATTGAACATGACATGCTCAGTATGACTTGATGGGTTAACTGTTTTTTGCAAGCTTAAATCACAATTCAATGGCAAGAAATGGGTATAGATGGCTGAGAAAGCTTAAGAGACTTACCAAGAAGGATGGGGAATTCTCGCTTTGGCATTGGGAAAGGATAAGGAGACCCCAATCTTGGGTAGATTATGAAAGCTCCATAGACAGTAGCTCTGAGGAATCCAGTATGAGCATGCCACCATAGTGTGCCTTCCTGGTTATTGATAGTAAAGCGGTATGTGTAAGTTCCTCCTGGGGGGATTGGACACTGGGTCACATAACTAGGTCCATCTGCCCATGGATTTTGCAGCATTCGAAGACCATGCCTAGAAGCACATCAGATTACGAGGAAATCAAATATCAAGCATGGTGAACCAACAAGTGAATTACTCAAGATCAATGTGATATTGATTACCAGTGTATTGAAATGTTGTATCTTCCAGCATTGGTTACTTTGATAACAAGTGAATCTCCATTCCTTGTTTCAATTGCTGGCCCCGGGAATTGCCCGTTGACAGTGAGTACGTTGAGAGTTCTGCACAGCCTCTTCACTGGTGTATTTTGAATCTATTCCATTCAATATATGAAGCCATGCTAATCAGTAACTAGCTTCATCATAATGATAGTATATATCTATAATAAGTTAATAACCTGTAGCACATCATCATAAAGCTAACACTTACAACAAATTCATGGTAGTGAGTCTCTGCAGGTGGATGAGAATCAACACAAGCAGTGATAGTGAGCAGGATGAGCAACAGCCAGAGGCAACTTGACTTGCCAGGAAGGTGAAAAGTCTCCATTATTGTCTCTGGCTTTGTTGAATGGAGATGGCTTGGCACTGGTCTGATGTGCAGGTATTTATAGAGTGAAAAGAGAGAAAGCCAATCAAGGAATTTCTTTTTTATTAGTATGGGAATTTAGAAGTTATGGCCTTTTACATGAGAGTCAGCAGTGTACTTAATATTAAAGGGCAATTAGTCTAACCATAAAGAGGATTTGGTGCACCCACTAGCGCAATCATCTGTGGAGCAGATGTTATAGATAGTCTTTAGATTTTCATACAAAGAAGTGATCCACGATGAGACTGGGTAAGTACCTGAACATTTTTGCTAAAGAACTAGTAAACATGCTTGTTACCATAAGCCAAGCAAAATAGGTTTCCATTTAATATTGTTAAATTACTATCTTAATGAAATGTTTAAGGTTTGATTTGCAAATTTTTTATTCTTCTCTGATCCTTTCATCAGCCACAGCCATTTAGTTTGTAAAAATAAATGAGAAGGCAAATTGAGTTAGAGGCTTTCCTTTATTTTGTAATAATATAGACTTACTTTTCTCATATTTTTATCATCATTTTTTTAATTAAAATATGAGATGTAGTTTTAAAAAAAAAAAAATTCTTCGATGAATCCTATCATATAATGTTAGAGTTATAAAAAGTATATATTCATCATGCTATTGAGAAATTTATCCATATTGATATATTTGAATCAACATAATATTTCTAGCTATTCATGAATCAACCTATAATGAATTGCAAATAGCAATAGAGACAGTTGGAAACCAATAGGAATCTAAGTTGCAAATTGAGTCACACTTGAAATTTGAATATCTTATTTGTAATTGAGATTCCTAAATTTACAATGTTTGATGGTGTGTTTGGATTAGCATCTTAAAAGTGATTTTATAGAATCCAAAATAAATGTATGAGAGAAGTTTTGTTTCAGCTTGTGTGGAAACATTTTTTTGAAATATTTTTTAGGGTTTTCCAAACATCCCCTAAATTGATATTTGCAACTCATTTTTCAGAAAAAAATTGCAAGGTAACTGTCATAAACTCTTTTCTTTTGGAACCTAACTGTTACCCTCCCTTTATTTAATCCACAGTAAAACTTTGTGAATCAGTCGTTTGCTCGTCGATCTAAATGCCACTAAGGTCATGCAGATCATGCAATTTTATTTTATTATCCTTGCAGCTTAACTCCAGTCTTTATTTTCTTTCTAAACCAAGGAATTGAAAAAAACCAAAAAAAAAAAAAAAACTACAAAGTAAACAACGGTACCATAATGTTGAGGTTGAGCTTCTGTTTGATTTGGTAATGAGAAAGTATGGACTTTGCGTTTGGTTGACCATTTCCAGTGATGTCAGAAAACGACATGAACAGCAATACTTAGTCCGCCATGCTTCTCGACGTTATATTATTATAAAAATAACATAAAATCGTATCTTTATTTGGTAGGACTTTTCTCAATGCATAACAACCTAGATTCCTTTAAAACTCTACTTTAATACTATATAAATGTCATAGTTCAACCCAGTCAGACCAAATTTTTCAATGTTGTGAAAGAAGTATCACTACCTTTTGGCCATCTTGGTCAAAAATCTTTACGTCAAGTTTTATAAATTTTAAAGGTTCAAATACAAGCCAAAGGGAATCTAACTAAAGAAAAAGCAAATGAGAATGTAAGGGACAACTGGGTCTGAAAGCATTTGATTTGAGTAAAAGCTCTTGATATCTTCAAATTTAACTCATCTTCAATCTAGGCATTAATTGATATGATATGATTATACATCTTTTTCACATTAGGTATATAACATTCTGGGAAAATTAAAATTTTAGTTTGTATAGTTTTGACTTTATTGTATTTTAGTCCCTAAACTTCAATTCAATATGACTCATTTATTATAGTGTTGACTTAGTTAGAACTCGATCTTTTGACTTTATTTCTCTGTAACAGTCCCCATAGTTTGAACCATTGAAAACTTCAGTTTCATGAAGTACCTAACCTTATGTTCTAAAATATAGGGACTAACATTTTCGACAATTAAACTGTAGGGACTAAGTTGTATTAAGTTGAAGTTTAGAGATTGAGTTACAATTTGAGATTGAAATTGACTCAAAACTATAAGAACAAAAAAATTAATTTTTATTAATATTTTACAAAAGAAGCAGGTTTCAAAGGGTTAACTGGTATTAATATAAGTGTTACTCTATTGGTAGTGGTACTTGTGCCAATATCAGTAGTCAGTATGTGTTATGTGACTAAGTTGGCTTCTGATGTATTAGGTAGACCGCCACAACTGACTTTTAGACTAATCCCATCAATTTGTTAGTTAAACCTAACATAACAAGATTTGGAATAACTTTGCAATTATCATTGGTCCATAAAATACACATAGCAAGTGACAGTGTCAACCTCTGGATTTAATAAAATCAACAGATGAGGAATCCTGCCGAAGTTCTAGAATGGATTCTAGGAGTCAAAACCAATAGAAATTGAGAAATCAAACAGATTGGCTCTGATGTGAATTTTATCAGCATAACGTAGGAATTTTCTCCAGATCAAATAGTTTTGTATTATCTAGATGCATGCAAAAAAGTATGCTATATCTAGAGGATATAACTAAGAAATCAGGAGAAAAGTATGACCCATCAACATGCAAGACAAGAACTAGAACAAAACCTTATCATATACTTTTTTGGTTCTATTTACAAGGTATTTTTAACATGTTTTATAGAACTAATAAAAACTACCTTAAACTTTAATAAATTTGTTTAACTCTTCCCTTATTTAATATGTGTTTTATACTTTAATAGTTTATTCTCATGAAGAATGAAGTAAGGGTATATAAATATGACCAAAGAAGTGTTTCTTTAATTCATAAACTAGAGAACAAGAAAGACAATCTCAGTGCATCATAAACAAAATATCTATAGTGCTACCTCTAGTTCTATGTAGGGGTGTTCATGAGACGAGATGGGAACGTGATAAGCCCGTCTTAGTCCTGTCCTGGTGAACAAGGACATGAAAGGATTTTTGTCTCATGTCCTATTTCCTTATTTGAAAAAAAAAATTGTAATTTTAGGTATGAATTTTTTTTATATTATAATGTTTGTTTTCTATTAGGCTTTTAAAGATAAAAACATTATTAAAAAAATTATGTAGAAAGCAATGTAAAAGGGTGTAAAAACAATATTGTAAAAGAAACACTATATAATAGCTTTATGAATTATTTTATTGAAAAATAAAATTTTGTTAGGATAATACTACAACTCAAAAGCTGAAAATCATTATAAAAAATAATTATTATTAATAAGTGAATTGAATAATCTAATAATATTAATAAGTATTTTTTTTAAAAAAATCCCGAGATGGGACTGGGCAGGATGGAATGGCCTTGTCCCGTTTCAATTGCTATTCTATCTTGTATTCGTCCCGTCTTGAAATTTTTTTTTATATCGAGATAGGATAAGTTAAATATTCCTAGTTTAGTGTATTGGACGATTTAATCCACTATAATATTAATCAGAAGTTGAAGAAAATAAATTATCATAACCTCATCCATAATGCACATTGTCCGGTTGTTGTTTATGTTGTTATGTAGAAGATATTGATTTTATATTATAGTATGATCACTCCAAGATCCAAACATTTTCTTCGATGTTAGATTCAAATGTTATTTAAGTTTCATCATACCGTCTCGTTTAAGTCAGTGCTAAATTTTGAAGAACTCTTTGAATAATTCAAGACAATTATATATTATTTTTCATTTTTCATGAATAAACATTGAAAACGTAAAGAATGGGTTTATATACATTTTTAAGTTTCTTTTATTTTTATTTTCATTTTCCTTTTTTCCAAAATTTATTTTAAGTTAAATTCGCCAACCAATGTAATCCGCTGGGTAAGACAGAATTCTCAGCTTGTGGTTGAGTTAGATCATTTGACTTGTCTAGATCTGTTTTAACTCAACAGCTTCATGTCGCTTGGGTGAAAAAACCACGTCGATGCAGAATATCGGCACAGGGCAAGGGATCATACCCTTGCTTTAAATTTTAATGTACTGAGCATGGAATCATTAGAAGGACAAGTTTGAAAAATCCCAAGTTTCATTTAAGCCAATCAAAACCAATAATACATCGCCAAAATTCCTTGAAAAAAATGATTGCTTAGTTTAAACCCTAGTCCAACAGAGAATTTTACACGAAAATGAAACAAAACAGAAGCTGCTAAATTGCAGAAAACAGTGAAGCTGTTTCACAGAACTCTCTGACAAGTATCTCCTAGATCAAACTAATGAGATAACCAAAAAAACGAAAAAATAACTAAAGCTCGGCTTTCCTAACTATCAGACTAACATTGGTGGGTATTTTCCAGTGATACAAGAGACATCTATCAAGCTGAAAACAAGTAACCTCGAGACCAGTTAATTGATGATGTTTCCTCAGAGTTGGGCTATCTGCTGTTTCATTGATCGTAATGACCTGAGTTTTAACTCACAGATCTTAGAAAATTCCATCAGTACTTCATGCTTTCCCAGTCACCATTTTCCTTGCTACATCAGCAGGGCTCCAGGACTCAAGTGATGGGAGATCCGATCACCGAGTTCTGCACCATCTTTGGAGTGAAAAAATGAGTCCAAAGTGCGAAATATTTGCCCCGGCCCATCATTCTGCTCATTGTTTCTAAAAGAGGATATAATGTACTCCACATTCTTATCCTCAGGAGTGTTTTTCCATTCCCTTATCCATTTCATGATCTCCTCTACCATACTAGACAAATGCTGCACAGAATTGGTGATTGTATGAACTAAACTAGAGCTGGAATGATCTACTGATCCACTCTTCTTTTTCTTTTTACCTGAAGGAAGACATGATCTCAGACAAGACTGGATTATGAGTCCATACCAGGCTAAAGGTTCTGTAACTATCTGTATAAGAAGCTGAACATCACCCCAAGAAGAACAGATTTCAGACTCCATGCTCTTCACCTTCTCTAAAATGTACTTCTCCAGCAAAGAATCTAAGATATTCCAAGTATGGGGCCTATTTCCATTTCCATCCGGCTGCACCAATTCACGGGAATTCAAATTCCATGCGTTTAAGAATACCGTGAAATTTAACCAGTCTATCAAGTTGGGGCCAAAAACCTGTGAAGAGGTTATCAAAAATAGGGATCAATCATCCAGTTGCAACATAAAAATAATTTTGCAATACTGAAACATATAGTAGCTAAGACTTTCAAGTTACTTGGAGCAGCTGTTTGAACATAAGAGAGAAGTATGTCTTGATTTCATACTAGTTAGGAGATAGAAAATGTTTGTCATACTAGTTAGGAGCCACATGGTATCATTGGCATTTGGTGTGGGTGCCATGTTTAGAGATACATAGTTTCATGATCCCATATAGACATATTTTAGCAGTAGCATAAAAAGCTCAATAATCTTACCTCAGAAAACCTTTCACCACCTGGAAAATCCATGATCACATCCACCGCT